AACGAAAGAAAATGGAGAACAGCAAAGGCAGCTGAGGGGAACCAGGACGTCAGGAGAGAGTGTGGGCAGGAAGAGAGTCAGCAACAGTTCAACACAGAGGCCAGGCGTGATGGGACAGGTCAGCCCCTTAACTGGACCAAAGCATCTCAGTGACACTTTGTAGCACAGCAGAGTAGGATCAGCACCCCTGGCTTTGTTTAAGGCCCATTTCTTCAATTTTGTTTCTAAGATTTTCAATAAACAAACATTTTTTAAAGATTTATTTTTATTGCAAAGTCAGATATACAGAGAGGAGGAGAGATAGAGAGGAAGATCTTCCCTCCGATGATTCACCTCCCCCAATGGCCGCAATGGCCAGAGCTGAGACGACCTGAAGCCAGGAGCCAGGACCTTCTTCCTGGTCTCCCATGCGGATGCAGAGTCCCAAGGCTTTGAGCCGTTCTCAACTGCTTTCCCAGGCTACAAGTAGGGAGCTGGATGGAAAGTGGGGCCGCCGGGACTAGAACTGGTGTGCATATGGGATCCTGGCGTGTGCAAGGTGAGGACTTTAGCCGCTAGGCTACCATTGCCGGTTCCCTAAACAAACATTTTTAAAGCTTAGTTGCTCTGCCTAAAAATTATAGATGCCAACATCCCTTAGCAGAGTGCTGATTTGAAATCTGGATGCCCTGTTCCCAATTAAGCTTCTTGCTACTGCACGTGAGAAGGTAGCAAAAATGGCCCAGTCTCGGGCCCGGCGCGGTGGCACAAGTGGTTAAAGGTCCTCGCCTTGCACGCCCGGGATCCCATATGGGCGCCGGTTCTAATCCCGGCAGCCCCGCTTCCCTTCCAGCTCCCTGCCTGTGGCCTGGGAAAGCAGTTGAGGACAGCCCAAAGCTTTGGAACCTGCACCCGCGTGGGAGACCTGGAAGAGGCTCCTGGCTTCGGATCGGCATAGTATCGGCCCGTTGCGCTCACTTGGGGAGTGAATCATCGGATGGAAGATCTTCCTCTCTGTCTCTCCTCTCTGTATATCCGCCTTTCCAATGAAAAAAATAATAAAAATAAATCTTTAAAAAAAAAAAAAATGGCCCAGTCTCCTGCCGCCCATGTGGGAAACCAGAATGGAATTCCTGGCTGGTTGCTTGGGCCCTGGAGAGTGAACCAGAGGATGGGAGATTCTCTCTCTCTCTAACTCTGTCTTTCAAATAAATAAGGTAAATCTTTGAAAAAAGGATGAATTTTGGAGAGAAGCAATTCAGCTGCTAACAAGTTGTAAAAGCTCATTGCTTACACATGTGAAGCTAAGCACACAAGTAATAACCAAGAATTCACTCTTTTAAGATTTTTTTTTTTTAATTGGGAAGTCAAATACACAGAGAGGAGGAGAGACAGAGAGGAAGATCTTCCATCCATTGGTTTACTCCCCAAGTAGGGGAAACAGCCAGAGCTTAGCTGATCCGAAGAAAGGAGCCAGGAGCTTCTTCTGGGTCTCCCGTGCAGGTACAGGATCCCAAGGCTTTGAACCATCCCCCAACTGCTTTCCCAGGCCACAAGCAGGGAGCTGGATGGGAAGCGGGGCTGCTGGAATTAGAACTGGCACTCATATGGTATCCTGGCGCGTGCAAGTTGAGGACTTTAGGCACTAGCCTGTTGTGCCGGGGCCTGGAGAGTTCACTCTTTGGACTGAGTCTGGAGGGTGACAAATAATAAGACAGGTTCTATATATACATATTTTTTAAAGATTTCTTTACTTGGGCCAGGGAGTTAGACTGGAAGTGGAGCAGCCAGCCTTAAACCAGTGGCCCTTATGGGATGCCAGCACCACAGGCAAAGGGAGTAGCTTGCCATGTCACTACACCAGGCAGGAGAAATACTATTACTTTCATTTTTCACTAAATAGTAACTGGTGGAGCTGAGTCTTGAACCCAGGCTGACACCAACCTCGTTCTTCCAGTGTCTCCCACACAGTGGGTCCCCAAGGGACTGGCAGCACTGTGTTTGTCTCTGTGTCTCACACAGCTTCTTAGAGGAAGCCACACGTGGGCCTTCCCTATGGGGTTAAGGTGTAGGGTTGCATCCCTGTGACCTAGTTGCTTTGATTTGTTTCATTTTTTTCTTTTTAGATTTATTTATTTATTTATCTTTTGGAAAGGCAGATATACAGAAAGGAGGAGAGACAGAGAAGAAGATCTTCCATCAGATGATTCACTCCCCAAGTAGCCGCAATGGCTGGTGCTGCACCAATCTGAAGCCAGGAGCCAGGAAATTCTGCTGGGTCTCCCAGGCGGGTGCAGGGTCCCAAGGCTTTGGGCCATCCTCAACTGCTTTCCCAGGCCACAGGCAGGGAGCTGGATAGGAAGTGGAGCTGCCAGGATTAGAACCGGCACCCATATGGGATCCCGGCTCGTTCAAGGCGAGGACCTTAACCATTGCGCTATTGTGCCAGGCCTTTTGATTTGTTTCTAAAGAAGGTAGGGGAAGACTGAGATCCAAAAGAACCTTGGGAGACCCAAATGCTCAGTGTCCCACCTGGCATTTCCCCCCCTTGGTGTCATGGAGTCTATAGATGCATCTCAAAGAATTGCCACCCTAGAAGGGTCCCTCCAAATGGAACAGATGGTGTTGGGCGAGGGCTGGGGGAAGGGAAGGGAGAGGCATCTAACCCCTCCTCCCCAGGATCTAGAACAGCCAGGCACTCAGCCCCCATCTTACAGAGGCCACACTGGTTTCCAAAAGTGGCCTTGGCTTTACAAAGTTATTCCCAGATTTATAGCTGGCACGGCATTCACAGGGTCCCATGGCTCATCTGAGGGTTTGGGTTGTTTTTTGTCTAGGTTGGTCCACAGGTGTCCAGCCAGATTTTAGGTGGACAGGGTTTCTGGGTGGCTCCTGGCCTGAAGCTGGTCGGACGCCCTTGCGGGGAGCACACTGCCCACGTCCTCTGGCAGCGGCGGAGGTGGGCGGACGTATGTCCGTCTCAGCGTGCCTCAGATCATAGCTTCCTCATAAAAAGCTGATAGCTGGGCCCCATCAATATCTCAAATACATGTGAGGAAACGTTAATTTAGAATCAATTTTAGGATGTTTCAGACTGTAAAATCCTTTTAACTAGATCTCTGGCGAAGATGTAGAAGCACTTTATGGGACTGTAAATTTCATGTTGAACAGTCTTGGTGAAATACACATCTCCCCTACACACAAGCTGTTCTCTCCATATCAATCATGGCCCCTGCAAGTAATGTTTCACAAATATTCTGTAAATCACAGAAAATCCCATGATAATGTGAAATATGACTTTCACTTGTCTGTGAGACAAAAGAGCCACACATGCCTCTCTCCCATCCGCACTAACATTTGTTATGGATAATAACACTTTCAATCACAACTATTTTTGGAAAACGGGTTTATTTTAAACCTTCCCTCTCCCTCCCCACCCCCACCGACTGAAAACATTCTCCCAAGGACACAGGCTCCTACAAACCACAGCCCATTAAATCCAACTATAGAATAAGAACTTTTTCTTGCAACTAACCTGGTTGAAAAGTTGTTTGGAAGTCATAATATAAAAACCTAGGTTACGAGCACACTTTCCCTTAGCTGGTCAGCGTAACAGAGGGGTCAGATGTTGTAAAGACCCCCCGAATCTCTGTGACCTTGTGTGGACTGAGTCCTGACATGGGCCTGGCATGTCATCAGGGCCTCTATTAGCTGCTGGCACTGGCAGAGCAACTGAAGGGGCCCGGCACATGCGCTCTGAAAAAATAGACACATTAACTCCCTTGATAGTCTGAATTCTATTATAGTCTAGCCAGGGCCTCCCTGTTCAAGCAGCAGAGGAACAGCCCTAAAAATGTGATTTGCAAACCCAACATGATGGCTAAGTGGCTAAATCCTTACCTTGCATGCGCCAGGATCTCATATGGCTGCTGGTTTGTGTCCCAGGTGCTAAACTTCCCATCCAGCTCCCTGCTTGTGGGCTAGGAAAACAGTAGCGAATGGTCCAAAGCCTGGGGACCCTGGGAGGCCCAGCGGATGCTCCTGGCTTCATATTGGCTCAGTTCCAGCTGGGGCCACTTGGGGGTGAACCAGTGCACAGATCTTTCTTTTTCTCCTCTCTGTAAATCTGCCTTTCCAATAAATAAATCTTTAAAATATAAAAAAGCGTGTGGTTTGCACATAACCACATCCACCCCAAGGCTCACCTCGCCTTCCATCCTGGTCACTAGCAAAGCAAAACTCACCCAAGTGCGGTGGCATAGCAAGCTAATCCTCTACCTGCAGCACCAGCATCCCATGTGGATGCTTGTTTGTGTCCCAACTGCTCCACTTCCAATACTGCTCCCTACTTATAGTCTGGGAAAGCAGCATAGGATGGCTCAAGTTCTTGGGTCCCAGCACCCATATGGGAGACCCAGAGGAAGCTCCTGGCTCCTGACTTCGGATTGGCCCAGTTCTAGCTGTTGTGGCTATCTTAGGAGTGAACCCGCAGATGGGAGATCTCTCATCTCTCTCTTTCTTTCTCTCTCTCTCTCTCTCTCTCTCTCTCTCTCTCTTTCTCTCTCTCCCTCCTCCAACTCCTCCTCCTCTCCCCGTCACTTGTTCTCTCTATAATTCTGCCTTTAAAATAAATCTTAAAAAGAATAAAAATTAAAAAGGGCCTTGCATGCACCGGGAACCCATATGGGTGCCAGTGTGTATCCTGGCTGCTCCATTTCCCATCCAACTCCCTGCCTGTGGCCTGGGAAAGCAGTCGAGGACGGCCCAAGGTCTTGGGAACCTGACCCCCGTGGGAGACCTGAAGGAAGCTTCTGGCTTTGGGTCAGCTGAGCTCCAGCCATTGCAGTCACTTGGGGAATGAATCAGCAGATGGAAAATCTTCCCCTATGTGTATCTACCATTCCAATGAAAAAAATAAATAAATACATCTTAAAAAAAAAAAAGTAGCGGACTTGCATGGTTCTACTGAACAGGTAATCTGTTTTCCCTCTCTCTGTAGCCAACCTCAGGACTGTCTGGTCATGACTTCCACAAAGGAGCAGGCAGCCATCAGCCGGCTCTTGAGTTTTTTGCAGGAGTGGGACAGGGCCGACAGAGTCGCCAGGAGTCACATCCTTGACAGTTTCATCGCCACCAACCAAGGCAAGACTGCCCCGGAACTGGAGCAGGAGTTCTCCCAAGGAGCCAGCCTGTTCCTGGTTCGCCTGACCACGTGGCTCAGAATCATGTATCCTTTGCTGACCAGACATAAACATACATGTCAATAGAGGCAATCTCTGGTAGATCGGTGAGGCAGCTGTCCAGTTGGGAGGGGACAGTGGATACCACAGATGATCCCAAAAGCCAAGCGCTCCCCTGGCTGCTTGTCTCGCTGGCCCCCTGATGCCCTCCCGCTCACGGCAGTCCTTTTGTCACACAAAGCAGGGGCAGACATTCCCCTTTCCCTAGTTTAACTTGGTTTCTGCTCTGCTCGGACCCCCTCGTACTCCCTCAGAGATTTCATTCTCTTTCTCCTCTTTCTTTCCTCTTTTTACCTCGTCACCAGCTCTCCCTGACCCTCAGCATTTGTAAATTGTGGAAATTTCTTCTCCCTTTAAAACGATTCAATGAAATCCATTTCTCAAACCTGGGTTCCCACCTCTCCTTGCTTCCATTCATTCTTCCTCACTCCCCTGGCCCTTACCCACCCACCACCCACACACACTCCTCAGATGCAGAGCTGGTAGTTTTATGATTGCAGTGGCCACCCCGGTCACTGCCTCCGCAGTCCTTCCCCCTGACCCCTTCATGTTCATCCATCCACCCTTCCCGCTTCTGCACGCCTGCCCACTTTCTGGAATAACAGTCTCTCCTGTTTTTCTTTTTTCTTTCTGTCCGTTCCTTCCCTAGCCATCCTTGAGATGTAAGGGTGTTCCTCTGGATTCCATCCCAACCCCCACCCCTGCCGCTCACTCCTTGAGTGAGCTCATGCCTCGTCAGTTGCCAACACATCTTCAGTTTGTGGAGCTCCCAATTTCTCTCTGTTGCAATCAGAGTCCTAGAGCTATGCATGCAGCTACCATGTCCACTCCTGCTCACTTTCCTGGTGAATGAAACAGGGTCACAAGAGAAAGGACATTCGCTCTGAAATGTCCGTGGCAGGGCCCAGTGTGGTGGCCTAGCGACTGAAGTCCTCACCTTGCATGCACCAGGACCCCATATAAACACCAGTTCTAATCCTGGCAGCCCCACTTCCCATCCAGCTCCCTGCTTGTGGCCTGGGAAAGCAGTCAAGGACAGCCCAAAGCCTTGGGACCTTGCACCCACTTGGGAGACCCGGAAGAGACTCCAGGCTCCTGGCTTCAGATTGGCGCAGCTCTGGCTATTGCAGCCACTTGGGGAGTGAATCATCTGATGGAAGATCTTCCTCTCTGTCTCTCTTCCTTTCTGTATATTTTCCTTTCCAAGAAAAATGAAATAAATCTTTAAATTTGTTTTATAAAATAAATCTTTAAATTTATTTTAATAAATCTTTAAATTTTATTTAAATTTTTAAAATAAAATTTTTTTTTGCATGGCAGTCAAAGCTTTGGAACATGTTGAGTTCAAAGCATTGTGCTTAGCGACCCTTGAAGGCAGATGGGGACTGAAGACTGACTGGTGGCCATCAGGTGGACAGTTCAACAATGATGCATAAATTTCTGGATATTCCTCCTCTGTGGACCCACAGCCCTCGCACTGTCTTACTGTATATTTTTAATTGGTTTTTCTTTAACGTTTCTCTCCTCTGTATTCAGCAAGCTCTCTGGGTCTCAGTTTAAACATGACTTTCTTGGGAAGCCCTTTTTGAGGTCTAAGCTAACTCATTTTCCCCTGTTATGCATACCCAGAGCCACAGCCCTTTGCTGTTACTGCCTACCTGCAGTTCCTCTCCCCTCCACCACCCCCTCGGAGTGTAAGCACTGTGAAGGCGGCAGGTGCACCTGCGCGTCCTGTCGCATGGTGCTCTCACACATTTACTGAGTCAAGGAGAAGTGGACCACACGGTTGGCAGCCTCAAGTGGACACGGCTCAGCCATCTTTTTCCTAACATTGAAGTCACTGATAACATCATTATTATTCAGATCTAGGCCTCCAACACAGGCCACAGGAACTACCTCCCGAGTATGTCTCTGAGTTGACCCTAGTGTTTCACACATCAATGTGCATAAAGGAAGCCGAAAATGCAGATGAGCAGCCTAGCTCCCCCACAGCGCTGATGGAACCTGAGGGTAAGTCTTTGGCCCCTGTTTTACTGACTCTGTCGCCTGGTTCACAGATCACACAACAGCGCCTGTGTTCTGGCTCGCGTCCCCACGGATTGGGCACTGACCTTGCCAAGGTCATCAGCAACCTCCTTGCTGCCTAACCAGTATTCTCTTTTCATTACTTGTCTTTGCTTAACATTTTTCATTTGATCATCAGGTGAGGCAAGTGAGGCAGGATCAGACAAATACAGAGCCCAATCCAGTCTTCATTTAAAAATATTGTTTTGGGGCCAGTGCAATAGCTCAACTAGCTAACCCTCCACCTCCGAATGTTAACACCTCATGTGAATGCCAGTTTGTGCTTGTCCCGGCAGCTCCATTTCCCATCTAGCTCCCTGGGACCTCGTACCCACATGGGAGACCCAGAAGAAGCTCCTGGTTCCTGGCTTTGGATCAGCTCAGCTCCAGCTGTTGCAGCTATTTGGGGAGTGAACTAGCAGGTAGAAGATCTTTCTCTGTCTTTCCTTTTCTTTGTGGATCTGCCTTTCAAGTGAAAATAAATAAATATTTTAAATTAAATGAATAAATACAATTGATGTTTTATTCTTCATAGATCTTTATATTACTTTTGACTTTTAAATGTTGCATTGCAATATTGTTTGATGGCTGAGGTTTTTTTTAATACCTCCTTTTAAAAAAAATATTTATTTATTTATTGGAAAGACAAAGTGACAGAGAGAGAGATTATTCACTCACTAATTCATTCCCCAGATGCCCACAATAGCCAGGGCTATATCAGACCAAAGCAGTAAGGCTGGAACTCCTTCTGGCTCTCCCACATGACTGGCAGAGACCCACGTACCTGCGTTATCACCTGCCTCTTTCCTAGGAGCATCAACAGGGAAATGGATCTGCAGTAGAGGTGCCAGGTCTCAAAGCAGCACTCTGTATAAAATGTGAGTGTTCTAAGTGGCAACTTAACCCACTGTACCACAAATGCCAGCCTCTCTTTTGATGCCCTTTAAATTCTGGACCCTAATCCCAGCCCTGCTTGACCGTTGCCTCTTCTTAGTCTCTGCTGTCCTCTGCCTTTTTCCAGTGCTGGTTTCCAGTCCCTGTTGCAGGGTTTCCTCAGATTCTGTGTTCAACTCACCTCTTCCTCATTCATGCAGGGAGGTCATTTGCATGCATAGCTCCACCCCCTTCATTTATCTGTAGGCAGGAGGGCCAGGCGAGCTCAAACTCCCAGTCAGAATGCCCAGGTTCCACCCCTAATTCTTATCAGTTAAGTCTGGCACGTTGGATGTGTCCAAAGCCAAGATGGTGACCACAGGTCACTCTTGAAGTACAGGGAGATGCTGACAGCATCCACCAGAGTGGCATGATGAGGGTTATATGAGACTGTGTGCAATATCCAGCACACTATAAATACTGGTGCTTGATAACTACAGACTAATGCTGTGACAACCCCTGGGCCTAATTACTGGAAATAATAGACCAGAAATCTGTGTATAATGAGCAGCTATGAAAACAAGAACCACCTAGGACAAAAGAGACCAAAGATGACAAATGTTGATCAGCCATGCTGGTAATTGAAGGAACGGGGGAGAATGCGTTGAGGCAGGAATGGGGCCAGGGTTGGGGTGAGCACGCCGGGGCCAGTGCAGGAAGGTGGGGACTCACTGAGGGGACAGCCTGGCCACAGCTATGGCCGCAACAGGCGGGGGGAGCCTGGCTCCAGAGCAAACACTGTTTTTGCAGTAAAGAACCTTTGCTAATGAGCCAATCTGTCTCTACTTCTATTGGCATCCTGGGAACCAGGGTGCAGCAGCGATAATTTGCTTCCCGCCCCCACCCTTCCCCCGACAAAGCACCATTACCTCCAGCCCATTACATTAGCCTTTATCAGTCTTAGAAGCTCTCAGTCATCCTCCATGAGCCACGATCATTTCAGCTAATTTCTTAAGTGTTCTAAGAGCCTGTGATGTGTTATGAGCCTAGTAATTGTTGACTGGGTCCTCTTCTGCAGCTTGATTTCATACCTTGTATCCGAGCAGACGCGTGCTCTGCGTGTTTTATTGCAACCAGGCTTCTCTGCAAAAGCTCACATTAAAAAAAAAAAAAAGAATCACATTAAATACGGAGGTTGTTTGAAATTAGCGTTTAATTGTCCCACCATTTCCTGTTACTCTTATTAAGGAGCCACTCAGGGCTTCCTAGAGAGAATGACCTCCTGTGTGAAGTGTCAGAATTAAAACGAAGCTGGTTTTCTTTTCAGAGAAGTCTAGGAAGGAATCACAAAGTGATAAACAGTGCTGAGACCCAAGGGTGCAGTGGTCATGGCTTGGAGAGGCCCCAGGAGATGGATGCCTCCACCCACTGGCTTTTCTCCACGCACTGTTGCCTCGTGAGCACCACCACCACCTCCCCACCCATTTCTGGCTTCCTAGGGAGTCCATCAGAGCCGAGCTGGCTGACGAGGGAACAGGCCAGCACCCACTGCCTTTCACCTTCAGCTGTGGCCCCTCCGAGGTCATCCCAGGCCCCAGGGATCCCAGCCCAGACCACTGCCCCCAAAGGCTGTTCTTTGACTCAGCCTGCAGCTACATGACTGGCTCGTGCTTGGAGAAGCTTCTGAGGTGCATCAACATCTTCTTGTCAGCCGTGAGCAGGTGAGTTTCCTTGCAGGACAATCCTGGCTCGTGGTGTCCTTGGTGTTTATCCAGCCCCAGTTGCTCCCTCTCTCATCGCCTCTGTTGGCCCACTACCAGCCAGCCATCTTCAGGTTGCAAATCACAGCAACCCTATACTCATCCCGCCTCAGGAGAAAGGAACTTACTGTCTCACTTAAAACTGACAGATTCGTAAGGGTGGAAATGCATATTTCAGGCCCAACTAGACCCTGGGAAGGGGAGCAGGTGGGCAGGTGGGGGGGGTCAGCCCTCCGTCTCCTCCTTTCTCTTCTCCATTCCTCAGTCTGTTCTGTGTGCTGAGGGTCCCAGTGGATAACGCACCTGGCCCTAACCGAGTGCTGCACTCAGAAGGATGACGCACACCTTCACCCGCTCACTTCAAAACCCCCTTACCTGCGAGTGACAGGAAGTGTTCCCCAAGGTGCAGTTACAAGAGTCCGCGGGAATAGAAACTGGAGAGTCAAAAATAATGCATTTCCAAAGTATCGGACTCCAGTATTTCCTACCAAAAAAAAAAAAAAGAAGGAAGAGGAGGAGGAGGAAATAAGGATTTCCAAGCTATTGTGCCACCGTGTGCCCACGCCCGTTTCCCACAGAGGATGTGAAAACAGGGCCTGGGGCATTCCTTAGCCAGGTTCGCACCAAGGAACTAGCAAAGTGCCCTCCTTCTGCCTCTTGGGACAGCAATCGGTACCTGATCGAGTTCCTCGAAGTTGGAGGTGTCCTAACGCTCCTGGAAATCCTCGGGCTGGAGAAGGTCAGGGAGGAGGACAAGAAGGAAGCCATCAGGCTCCTCCAGGTGATTGCGAACTCCGGCAGGAAGTTCAAGGAGCTCATCTGTGAGAGCTACGGTGAGTCCAACGTGCAAGCTGGGTGTCGCGGCCCGGGGCTCCCACGTGGCAGCACCCACCTCCGCTGCACAGACAGCTCCCATGTCCTTTGTCTGCCCAAGAGGCCAATTTTTTTTAAGATTTTTTTTTTTCTTACGTGTACTTATTTTTATTGGGAAAGCAGATTTGTGGAGAGAAGGAGAGACAGAAATGTTACCAGAAATGCTTGGTGGGTTCTTTCCTAGCTTAGTATAGAAATAAAAAGCCGGGAATCTGTTGCAGACAAAAAACGTTTATTTGCGAAGGGACCAGGTGAGCAGGGATGGGAGGGGGAAGGGGAAGCAGCTCCGGAAGAGAAGCCGGGAGGTGGGGTGCCTCTCGAAAGAGGAGAGAGAGAGAGAGAGACACCAAAGGTTTGAGGAAGAGTCTTGGGATTTTAAGCATTCCCTGACCCCTCCTTGTTGGGCGGGGAACCTACAGGTGAGATGTTCCCCATTGGTGGTCTCTTAATTAGTTAGAAAATAGGTGGGCAGGGCCCGGCAGCGTGGCCTAGCGGCTGAAGTCCTCACCTTGAACGCTCCGGGATCCCATCCAGCTCCCTGCTTGTGGCCTGGGAAAGCAGTTGAGGACAGCCCAAAGCCTTGGGACCCTGCACCCATGTGGGAAACCTGGAAGAGGTTCCTGGATCCTGGCTTCGGATCAGCATAGCATCGGCCGTTGCGCTCATGAAGATCTTCCTCTCTGTCTCTCCTCCTCTCTGTATATCTGACTTTCCAATAAAATAAATAAATCTTTAAAAACAAAGAAAAGAAAATAGGTGGGCAATTCTGGCGCCACCCACCTGAAGGTGTGGCCAAGACCTCAGCATGCCTGGATGGTGTCAAGAAAGTTTTTCCATCTGCTGGGTCATTGTTCAAGTACTCTCATCTGCCAGAGCTGAGCTGATCTGAAGCCAGGAGCCAGGAACTTCTAGGCCTCCCATACAGGCACAGGGTTCCCAGGCTGTTGGACCATCCTCCAATGCTTTCCCAGGCCAAAAGCAGGTGGAACAGCCAGGACACAAACCAGTACCCATGTGGGATCCCGGCACATGCAAGGTGAGGATTTAGCCCCTGAGCCGTAGCGCCAGGCCCACAGAAAGCCTTTTATGCAGTAGCTTCAATCATGTTTGTCTTTGTCCTCACCGGAAGACCCAGATGTGTAATTTTCCTGATCCGTTATACATGTAAGTGTTTCAGTAGTGGTTTTTAAAAATATTTCACTCTTCGAAAGAAATGCTCTTTGCTGAATCTATTCAATAAATGCATTAGCAGTTCATTTGTGAAAATGGGTTATGGATAAATATGGAAATCAAATGGAAATAAGATTATGGAACATGTACTACATACTAGGTCTGTGCTAACGTCAAAACACCATTCCTTGGCGAGGAGATGGCAGGCTCCAAATGTGCAAGAGGAGGGCACGGAAACGCCAGTTGCCAGATCCAGTCAGTATATGCTGTGTTGAAGCATTATGTACCTTATGAAAATGTACAATATTACAGACATTTTTTATAGTTTTTATTTGTTTGAAAAGCAGAGAGGGACTCGGCATGGTAGCCTAATTGCTAAATCCCTGCCTTGCACGCACTGGGATCCCAGATAGGCGCCAGTCCATGTCTTGGCTGCTCCACTTCCCATCCAGCTCCCTGCTTGTGGCCTGGGAAAGCCATAAATGATGGCTCATGTCCTGGTGACCCTGCCCCCTACCCCCGTGTGGAAGACCCAGAAGAGGCTCCTGGCTTCGGTTTAGGATCAGCCCAGCTCTGGCCATTTCAGCCCTTTGGGGAATAAACCAGCAGACAAAAGATCTTTCTGTCTCTTCTTCTCTCTGTATATCTGCCTTTCCAATAATAAATAAATACATTTTCTTAAAAAAAAAAAAAAAAGAAAGAAAAGCAGGACAGAGACCGACTGATGGAGACCATCAGTCCATTCATCAACTTCCTAAATGCCCCTAGCCGGGGCTGGGCCAGTCCAAGGCCAGGCGCCCAGGATTCTGTGTGATTCTCCCCTACGGGAAGCAGGGACCCCACTGCCTGCCAGGATGCACACCCGTAGGAAGCCAGGGCCAGAGTGGAGCCAGGGCTTCAACCCCCACAATCTGATGGGGGACTCGGGAATCCCAGGCAGCTTTAACTGCTACATGGAGCATCCAACCTGCCCCATTTTTTTTTTCATTTTTAAAGATTTATTTATTTTTATTGGAAAGTCAGATATACAGAGAGGAGGAAAGACAGAGAGGAAGATCTTCCGTCTGCTAGTTTACTCCCCCAATGGCCGCAATGGCCAGAGCTGAGCCAATCCGAAGCCAGGAGCTCTTCCTGGTCTCCCATGCGGGTGCAGAGTCCAAAAGCTTTCCCAGGCCATCCTCGACTGCTTTCCTAGGCCAGAGGCAGAGAGCTGGATGGGAAGCAGGGCTGTCAGGATTAGAACCAGCGCCCATATTGAATCCTGGCACATTCAAGGCAAGGACCTTAAGCACTACACTATCATGCCAGACCCAATTTTTTTTAAAGATTTATTTATTATTATTATTTTTTATTGGAAAGTCAGATATACAGAGAGGAGGAGAGACAGAGAGGAAGATCTCCCATCCGATGATTCACTCCCCAAGTGAGCGCAACGGCCGATGCTATGCCGATCCGAAGCCAGGAGCCTCTTCTGGGTCTCCCACACAAGTGCAGGGTCCCAAGGCTTTGGGCCGTCCTCGGCTGCTTTCCCAGGCCACAGGCAGGGAGCTGGATGGGAAGTGGGGATGTCGGGATTAGAACCGACGCCCACATGGGATCCTGGTCGTGCAAGGCGAAGACCTTAACCACTGCGCCACCGCGCCGGGCCCATATAGACCCAATTTTTAAAATAGAATACAAAAACTGTTCCAGGCCTGAGAGCTTGCAGGTGAGGAAGGGCCGTGGGCAGCCATCTCTGGATAATCTGTCCAGTGTGCTGACGGGTTCCTGAAGTAAACGCCACCTACCACAGCATTCCCCACCCCTTAGCTCACCCTCACTCTCCCTTCCTCCCCCTTCCTCCCCCATTCTCCTCTGTTTCCAAGGGAGGCCTCTCTGAGCCTCAGTGTGCTCATCCACGAAGTGGGAACAATACTTCCCTCCTCCCAGGATAGTTTCCGGGATTAAATGAGGGGGAATTTGTCAAAACAGTTTGTAAACTGCTGAGGCAAGCAGTTAAAAAAAAAATCCAAATTTCATTTGCACATCTTCTTTGATTTTTAAAATAGTTGTGGCGATGCCATGCTTATGCTGGAACAAAATTGGCAGTTTGGTAAGCGAGCCAATGCAACGTGAGATTCTGACCTGGACTTTAAACAGGCACGTGAGAAAAGATCTTAATTCTACTCAGGTTATGGAACCCGGAGCGGCAAAATCCCTGTTGGAGCCGACGTTTCCTCCCTTTGTGCAGGTGTACGCTCCATCGCAGAGTTTTTGGCCAAATCGAAATCGGAAGAGACCCAAGAGGAAGTGCAGGTTCTGTTGGATTCGTTGGTCCACGGTAACCCCAAGTACCAGAATCAAGTGTACAAGGGGCTGATAGCCCTGCTGCCCTGCACCTCGCCCAAGGCGCAGCAGCTGTCCCTGCAGACTCTGCGGACGGCCCAGGTGAGCCAAGGGCACGCGCCCCCGCAGCCAGGGTTGGCGTGCCATCATGGGCCCCTCCCTCCATCTGTCCACCATTCCATCTGCGCTGCTCCCCAGCAGGCCAAGGCCGGGCAGGGAGTTCCTGCCTCCCAGCCGGTTTGCTTAGGGACCAGAAGGATGTCAGCAACTGAGAAGCTGCAGAGAGGAAGAGGCTGATGAAAGGGCTGCAGGAAAGATGAAAGGGTTGGGTCTGGTAGGGAAGGCAGCGTGCTTGGGTGTGTAGCCAGCATTGTCAGGGAGGCAGAAGAGCCTGTTTGTACCGGCTGGCATGCACTGTCCCCTTCCCTAGTGCCTAGAGAAAGCGTGGGACGGCAGAGCTGGGCAGTGTGACCTTATAGAGACGCCATGCCTGGCAAGGAGGGGACACAGACCACAGAGGGTTAGAGAGGCTTTCAAAGGCGCTCAGCCCAGCAACAGAGGATGGGCTGGGGTGGGGATGGGCGAGGGCATGAAGGCCAAGGGACACCGAGGAATGATGAGGCTAGAATGATGGTGGGTAATGATGGCTGCAGGAGTGGAGGTGGCCAGGTTAGAGAAGTGCTTGTGACACAGAGGGTGTGGGAAGTAGGGAAGGAAAGGGAGAGTGTTGTGGCATAGTAAGCTGAGCCTCTGCCTGAAGTGCCGCATCTTATATGGGCGCCAGTTCAAGTCCCAGCAGTTCTACTTCTAACCCAACTCCCTTCTTGCTAATGGCCTGGGAAAGCAGTTGGAAGATGGCCTAGGGCCTTGGGCACCTGCACCCAGGTGGGAGACCTGGAGGAAGCTCTTGGCTCTTGACTTCTGGCTTCAGACCAGCCCAGCCTTGGCCATCACAGTCATTTGGGGAGTAAACCAGCAGATGAATGATCTCTCTCTCTTTCTCTCTGTCTCATTCTCTTTCTCTCTCTCTCAAACTCTGATTTTCAAATAAAAAAAATGAATGAATCTTAAAAAAAGAAGGAGGGAGGGCCAGCACTGTGACTTAGCAGGCTAATCCTCCACCTTCAAGTGCCAGCATCCCCTATGGGTGCCGGTTCGTGTCCCAGCTACTCCACTTCTGATCCAGATTCCTGATTGTGGCCTGGGAAAGTAGTAGAAAGTGTTCCAAGTCTTTAGGACCCTGCACATCCACGTGGGAGACCCTGAAAAAGCTCCTGGCTTCAGATCAGCTCAGCTCTGGCTGATCCGTTGTAGCCATTAGGGGAGAGAACCAGCAGAGGGAAGATTTTCATCTCTCCTTTTCTCTGCAAATCCGCCTTTCTAATAAATAAATAAATATTTTTGAAAAAATAAAGGGAATGCAGGTGAACACATGGCATTCAGGTGGCAAAGTGGGGTGTGAGCACCTGGAGGCGGACAGTGGGGGTAAAGAGGGGAGCCTGTCTGAGTTGGGGCAAACTGGATTTGATCCAACAAACATGGCAAGTCTTGGTGACTCCAAGGTGCCCGTATGAGGGCCAGACAAGGCCAAGTGCAGAGGATATTATGGTTCTCCTTTTCTATTATTGGTTCATTGATTCAAAAAAGGAAGAGTGAGTCCAAGAGAAATATCCTCCAAGTCCACTCCAAATGCTCATGACAGCTGGGGTGGGGCCAGGCCAAAGCTAGGAGCCAGGGTCACAGGGCGGATCTCTAATGCAGGTGCCAGGGGCTACTGGAGCCACCATCGCTGCCTCCCAGGGCGCACCTTGGCACAGCCCAGACTTGACCTCAGGCACTCCTCTATGGGCTGCGGGCATCGCAAATACCATTACTGCCCAACCCCTTGCCCACCCCTGCTTCATTTTTTAAAAGAACATTAGATTCAGACCCACACCTCTCCCTCCATGGAACCTGAGATGGCTCTCAGATGGCCCTGAGTGGTGGTACCTTTTGTCTCTAAGCTCCCTGCACGGTTCTGGTTCCCACTGAGGATAGTTAGACCCTCTATGCCCACGGGCAGCCCGGCCAAGGCTGATGGGAAGCTTTACTGCACTGTGGGAAGGAGCAGCGGGGAGGAGCCTGGCTCGGTGTTGGTTAGGTCAGACAGGAATGAGTGTGAGGGTGTGCAGTGCCAAGATGCCCAGACACAAGGAAATGTGTGAGGCGCTAGGAAAGAGGGGCTACCTGATGGGATGAGTGACCTAAAATGATTGTGGGAGCTGGCATGAGGCGTACACCTCTTTGCGCCTAATCACCAGAACTTTGTCCCTGCACCTCAAGCAGGGGGACAGCTCAGCTCAACCTCATTCCTCCTGAGCTGGTGGCCTCAGCGACAAACTCAGCAACCCATCTCAGCCCCAGCTCTCCATGGCGAACGCCAGAGACCCACAGCTGGCCACTGTCCCTGAGTCCTCCCCCAGGCACCAGGCCTTCGGGAATTCGGTGCTTCCACTGGAGGGTAACCACTGGCCGTGTTGTCTCCCTCCCCAGTCAGTCATCGGAACCATCCACCCCAGCATCGTGGAGTGTGTGCTGATGGTGCTGGGGACCATGCACCTGGAGGTCCAGTATGAAGGTAAGGAGCTCCGCTCAGATGGGCAGGGTGGCAGGGAGAACCAGGAGCAGGGGGTGATGGCTCCAGCGCTTGGGAGCCACCCATATGGGAGACCCAGATGTGGGCTTCCAGCTGCTGAGGGCAGATGAGGAGTGAAGTGAATTAGTGGTCAGAAGATTCATTCTCTCTCTCTCACAACCAATATTCTAAGATATGAGTCTTTGTCACAAAGCAACTTGTTGAGCGCCCTGGCGGACACAAGGTGGCGCCCCATCAGCGACTGAGTCATACTGCGATTCAGATCCACCCCTTCCAGCCTTAGCTGAGCATCAGCCTGCCTGCTGCTTCCCTTCCAAGGCCAAGTCAGCCCCGGGGGAGGTCCTTCTTCCAATACACTGAGTTGGGCAAGCACCGTATTGATCAGCTTTCATTCACCGAGTGCCCCTGCATACCAACCAAGTTTCCAGCCATCATTTCATCTCATTCTCCCAGTAGCTGATGCCTGTTATGCTTTCAGAGGTTGGAAGGAATGCATGGTGGACAAGCGAGAGAACACGCAAGCACAGAGAGGTTAAGGAGACCTCCCGAGGTCACACAGCTTGCTGGATCCAAACAGGATCCGTGTGATGCCAAAGCTCAGCTCGGCACATTCCGCACGTGGCGGCTGTTTAAAGGGATAGCCTCACCTTCCCTCTTGCTCCAGCGGTTCAGAGGAGGGTGGTGTGCAATGAAGGAAGGGCCCGCTGAGAAGGTGGCACTGCAACCGAGCCCTACAGTGAGGATCAGGATTTGGGGAAATGAAAAGAAGTGGAAAAGGGGTTAGACACGGAAGTGGCAGGCGTCTGGAGAGTGATTTCTGGCCAGGAGTGTTTGGAGGAGGCAGGGTTCATACCTGTGTCACCGGCAACATGATCAGGCCTGTGAGCATGTGTGTGTGTGTGTGTGTGTGTGTGTGTGTGTGTGTGTGTAACTCCCACAACTATGGAGACTGCAGTTCTAAAGCTTAACGCTTCAAAACTCGGCCGAGCCAGTGATGGAGCCAGGGCAGAGCTCCCAGGGAAAGATGGCAGAGCTGGTGCCCTGGCAGTGGAGTCAGGTGAGGCAGCTTAGTGAAGCAGCCCCAAGGAAACTAGACTGGTGCTGCTGACACCTGCCTGCCCCGGCCCAAGCCTCCATGTGGCGGACGTGCCTGCTCCGACCCACTGGTGGCTTCCCAGCTCTGGGTTCCATTATGCACAGAAAGCCCCAGAGTTGAAACTGTGCCCGGCATCCTGCAGGCCTGGCCTGGTACCAAGTCCCACTGGAGCAGACAACGAGCACACGCATCAGCTCATGTCATGCGTCCCAAACTCATAACAGGTGTTCAGGAAATGTCTATGGATTGAACAAATTTTTCTTTTTCTTTTTTTTTTTTTTCTTTTCTTTTTTCTCTTTTTTTTTTTTTTTTTAGCAAGGCATTGCAAAGTAGTCTTCTAGTAACTTTGGGTGTAATAGAGGACGTGAATGCCGTGGTCGTCCATCGGGGGCACTGTGTCACGGGAGCTGTTATAGGGCTGCGAGTCCCAGGCAGGGAACCCGAGAGCTGAAGGATCTTAAATGTGGCCCTAATGGTGGCGGCTGCAGACTATCAGAGGTGAACTTTCAGAAAAACCCGAATTACAAATCCAAGGTGGAACCGCGCCCGACGCCGTCAACTGAGAAAGCCCCCAGCCTAGGCAGCTAGAGCAGGTGGCACGGCGGGAGGGGCCGACCTCGGAAGGGCAGGGAGCGTTTGCTGTGTGTTTGACCACGTCCAAGTTGAGTGTCAGTGGATGCTGGTGTGTCCCTCTTGAGAGGCTCGTAGCAAGTTGAGTTCTCTGGGAAGGGCAGGGCTTGGAGGGCCTTAGGGCACCTTCTGGGGCTTGACTTTGTGGGGTCCCTGGGGAGGAATCAGCTGGTGGCCTCCCCGACCCCGAGCTTCGTCTCACCAAGCTGCCTCCCGACATTGTCTGCCTTCCTTCCCACCACAGCATGTCCCTGTTCCTGCCACAGGCCACCTCTTCTACACTTTGCGCAAGCACATCCCCTTCACGGCCCCTCTCCTGTGGGTAGCCTCACCCTTTCCCTCTGGCGGAGGGTGGGGGGGTGGGGAGGCCAGTGCGTCTGCCCTGAACCTGTGCAGGCTCCCTTGTCACTCTCCCCTATCCAGTACAGGCCGACACTGCTTACAGAGCATTCGCGTTGTGTCAGGTAGCATTAGCAAGCGGGAGATGGCTGAAGCACATGGCGGGTGGGCACTGCGGGGGCCGTGGGTTAAGCTGCTGCTCGTAAGGTATGGGAGCAGGGTTCCAGTCCCATTTCAAATCTCCACTTCTGATTTAGCTTTGTGCGAATGTTCCTGGAAAAGCAGCAGGAGGTGGTCCTCAGTGTTTGGAGTCCTGCCACCCAGGTGAGAGACCCAGGTGGAATTCTAAGCTCCTGACGTCAGCCTGTCACCCTGGCTCAGTCCTGGAAGATTTCTCTCTCTCTCTCTCTCTCTCTCTCTTTCTCTCTCTCTGCCTTTAAAGTAAATAACTTTTAACATTTTTTTAGGGTCTGTACAATAGCCCAGTGGCTAAGGTCCTTGCCTTGCATACACTGGATTCCCATATAGGCAATGGTTCTAATCCTGGCTGCCCTGCCTCCCATCCAGCTCCCTGCTTGTGGCCTGGGAAAGCAGTGGAGGATGGCCCAAAGCCCTGGAACCCTGTATACCCATGTGGGAGATCTGGAAGAGGCTCCAGGCTCCAGGCTCCTGGCTTCGGGTCAGTGCAGCTCTGGCCATTGCTGCCAATTGGGGAGTGAGTCAATGAACAGAAGATCTTCCTTTCTGTCTCTCCTCCTCTCTGCATATCTGAGCTTCCAATAAGAATAAATCTTTGAAATAAATAAATCTTTTTTTAAAAAGTGTCAACAGAGATTAAGAAAGTTTTTTTTTTCCCCAAGGGGCAGATTTACAGAGAGAGACCGGGGTGTCTTCTATTTATTAGTTTGCTCCCCAGATGGCTGCAGTGGCCAGAGCTGAGCTTATCTGAAGCCAGGAGCTTCTTCCAAGCCTTCTACATGGGTGCAGGAACCCAAGAATCTGAGTCATCTTCCACTGCTTTCCCAGGCTACAAGTAGGGAGTGGGATTAGAAATGGATCAGCTGGGATTGGAACTAGGCTCCTTATGGGATGCCACCTCTGAAGACAGAGTATGAGGTTGCTAAGCCACCATGTTGACCCAAAAAGTAAAAAGACTTTTTTTAAAGTAGCATCCAGGGAGTTTTACCCTAGCAGTTTGGATGCTGGCTGGAATGCCCACTTCCCACATCAGAGTGCCTTGGTTCAAGCCCAGTGCAGCTCTGCTAAGGCAGACTTTGGGAGGCAAATTCTCTCATATGGGAGAATCAGGCCATACCCCTGGCTCCCAATTTGGACCCAGCCCAGCTCTGGCTGTTGAAGCATTTGAAGGGTAGAACTGTAGATAGGAACTTCTTCCAGGTCTCCCATGTGGGTGCAGGGACTGAACCACTTGGGCCATCTTCTGCTTTCCAGGCACATCAGCAGGGAGCTGGATTGGAAGTGGAATAGCCCAGTCTCTAACGGGTGCTTGTCCAGGCCCCACATGGGTCAGCAACCCTGGCAAACAGGCCTCTCCTCATGGGGCATTTCAGAGAAGTTTCTTGAACTGACACCCCTGTGAGATGCCGGCACCGCAGGCTTTCCCTGTCACCCCCCAGCACTGGCCCACAGACAGGTCCTGGGGCCCCAGCCGATGGATGTGTCAGACCCACAAGGCAGGTGGCAGTGGCTCGAAGTCTGTCCCAGAGGCATGGGCCTCTCTCTCTTGCCCCACTTTCCCAGGTATGCTCATGTGGCTTCCTGAGGTGTGTGTTTCCACCAGAGCATGGCTCACGGAGTCATTGCCCCGGCCCCTGTGCTGGTGGCACCGGAGGAGGCTGCAAGTCCAGGCTGCTCGGCTTCTGATCCAGCTTCCTGCAGGTGCTCGTGCTGGGAGAGAGGCAGTGGTTGATCGCTTCAGATGATGGGCTCCCACTTCATTCAAGTCCCTGAGCCAGAAGCAGGGAAGCTGTTTGCATCTGACCCACAGTCCCCTGGGAGGTGATGCGTGTCTACTGTTGTATGGTTACACCGCCCCCTGCTGGTTCTTCTCTTGGCAGCAGGAGTAACCAGGGCAAGGGGCCTGGTGCTCCCCCGTCCCCTCATTTCTCAGGTGCTTTACCACATAATTAAGATTTCAGAGTTGCTTTTCATGATGGCCCCAGTTACCACCAGGAAAACCAAAGTCAAGATTAAGGGAGGGTGCTTCCTGCCTAGAATTTATCCTCATTTCTAATTGCTTAGAAGTAAAGAAAAAAAAAAAAACCAGCTTCCTCGCCCCAGAGAATGACTGTTCCAGGAATGGAATGTTCTAGGAATGGAACAGGGACCCCCAGCAGGCAGGGACTAAACTGGCGCTGGTCTGGTGGTCTCCAGCCACAGGGGGAGCTGCTGCTGAGCTTCTCCTCCCTGCTGGGGAGAAATCTCAAAGCCAAACTTTCTTTTTTTTTTTTTTTAAGATTTTTTTTTTTTTTTATTGGAAAGGCAGATATACAGAGAGGAGGAGAGACAAAGAGGAAGATCTTCTGTCTGATGATTCACTCCCCAAGCAGCTGCAATGGCTGGAGCTGAGCCAACCCAAAACCGGGATCCAGGAGCTTCTTCCAGGCTGTCCTCAACTGCTTTCCCAAGGCCACAGGCAGGGAGCTGGATGGGAAGCGGGGCCACCAGGATTAAAACTGGTGCCCGCATGGGATCCCAATGCATTCAAGGCGAGAACTTTAACCACTACGCTATGGTGCTAGGCTCAAAACCAAACTTTCTTAGAAGAAATTAATACATTCGGGGTCTGGCACAGTGGCCTAGCAGCTAAACTGCTCACCTTGAATGCACCAGGATCCCATATAGGTGCCGGTTCTGATCCTGGCAGCCCTGCTTCCAGCTCCCTGCTTGTGGCCTG